TCAATCAATTGAATAAATAACTGCTATATATATAGATATATCAAGAAATACCTCAAATAAACATGCCAAAAACTCTAGGAATCTGGAACCAAACTTATGAATTCATGGGACAGATGAAATAAAACCAGATTGTAGGATAAAAGAGCCAGCCCAAGAAGCCTACCCTGACCCAGAAACCTACCCTGACCCGGAAACCAGAGCCAGCCCAAGAAGTCCACTTTGACCCTGAAACCAGAGCCAAATCTGCCCCTAACCAACAGAACACAAAATCAACCAATCCCTCAAGACAACCAACCAATCTCTGAGCAGAAAACCAACCAATCTGAGCTTGCCCAATCTCAAGGGGATCGAAATCTGACCAATTCCCTCCCTGAAAATCTTCTCCCTGGAAAAACTCCGCCCCTAAGCAGCCCTATATAAGGCCCTCCGCCTGTTCCGTTGGCAGTTGTTCTCCCCCACCACAGCAGAGCAGCCTCTCCTGGATACCTCCTTCCCAAATAAATCTCTTGAAAGAATTTTGGGTGAATCTCTGCCGGGAAGCTCTGTTTTGGGAGCAGAAGTCGCAGCTGACACCTCTGCTGGGAAACTCCCTTTAGGGGAGCAGAACAGAATCAACTTTTTCCCAAGTGCGAGAGCAGATTGCTTACATTTCTGTTGAGTTTCTCTGATCAGAGAGAAGCACAAGTAACATTTTGGGCTGAGAAGAAATGGATACCTCTGCTTGGAAACTTCCTAAAGAGAGTGGAGCAGAGCTCAGTTGTAAGGGCTCTCTCTAGGAGAGGAGCAGGATTGCCACACCCTGGGGGGAGACCAGGACCCACGGGACCCTAGCTTCAGGTGTAGCCTGACTTACCAACAGCTCAGGATACCTTTCTCCACAACTGTAGGTATACCTTCCCTTTACTGCTGTAAGTATAGCCTGACTTCCGGACAAGATTTTCCCTCTGGAACGGGAACACTTGCACAGATAGCCTGAAGAAGCTATTCAATGAAATTACAGTAGAGACTTCCCAATCATAGAGAGACACCCAGAGAAAACATTAAGAAACGCAAATAAATATGGCCAGAAAACAACCTCTCCAGGATGTAGCATAATTAAGATAGCAAAAACACAAAGCTAAGAAACAACACTAGCAACTATAAGGGTAAAATGCCACCATCACAACAAGGCAAAACATCAGAATAACAACATATTTGTCTTTAGCAGCCTGAAAATTGAGGAAAGCATAGAGAAATAAATTCTGAGCATTGAATGTAAGTAATTCCCAACTAAGACTGCTATACCCGGCAAAAATAACTATTTAAATGAACAGAAAAATAAAAATATCTTAAGAAAAACAAGGAAACTCGTGACAACTAAGCCAGCACTGAATAAAATTCACGCACACATACATACACACAGAAGATGAGGAGGAAAAAGCAGAGAGAGAGAAGGGAAGAAAGAAGAAGAGGAGAAAGAAGAGGCAGAGAGGGAAAAGGAAGAGGAGAAGAACCAAGAAGAGGAGAAAGAAGAGGAGGGGAGGAGGGAATTTCATACAGGAGAATCCAGGAAAGAACACATTTCATGAAAGCAACAGATGAACAAAAGATACTTAGGAAGGTATCAATCATGCAATACAGCAAACCAATAAACTTTCAACATTACCAGGAAAGGAAGAAAAGAACTAGCAATTACCCAAAAAACCAATACAACAAACAAACAAAATCATAAACAGGAAAGCTTTCTCAATTACAATCAATTAAAGGACACAACTAATGGATTAGACTAAAAAATATAATTCAACTCCCTCCTATCTCCAAGAAATTAACATAGGAAAGGTACCTATAAGCTGACAGTCAATAGTTGGAAATGAAACTATGAAATAAATGGAAGCATCAAAAAAGTGGTACAGTGGTCATTCTCACACCTGATAAAGTAGACTTCAAACCAAACTAGTCATAAAAGGGAAATAAGGGCCACCAAATGATGATTAAAAAAAAAAAAAACTCATCAAGTTGTAATAATTGCAAGTATTAACGCCTGACTCTCAGGGCTCTCTTTAAAACATAAAGAATGAGAAGTGTAAAAGACCACATAAGTCCAGACACAATAAAAATGGGAGACTTCAAGAACCTGCTAATAACATGTGACATATCTTCCTCATTAAAAATTAGCCATGGCTGATGGATGCCCACGGGAGGCCTGCCCTTTTCTGAAGAGAAACAGAGGAGGAGAGGATTAGGGTGGGATACAAATGAGGAACTGGGAAGAGAGCAAGGAGGGGAAACTGCTGTTGAGATATAAAAACAAAAATATAAATAAATAAATAACAAAAATTAGCAATGAAACCTCAGTTATATTACATCACAGAAAAAATGGACTTAACAGGTTTTTATAGAACTTTCCACTAAACAGATAGGAAAAGTATGTTCTTTAAAACTGACCACATTATAGGCCACAAAGAACACCTTATATAGACAAAAAAAAAAAAACCTGAAATAATTCCCTGCCTTCCTAGCAGACTACAATGGAATAAAACTAGAAATCAATAGCAAAATAAGTCAGAAAGATACACAAATACTTGCAGACTAAACGGAAATCAGGGTAAATTTTGAAAAGTTCCTAGAATCAAATAAGAATAAGAGCACAATGCACCAGGTTCTCTGGAATACAAGGAGAGTTCTAAGGGGACCATCCATAGTTGTGGTCACATTAAAAACAAAATCAGAAAGATCTCAAATAAATAACTTAACGATACAAAGTGATATGACCCACTGAGGAAAGAAGACAGTCAAAATGTGACTTCAGGCAAGGCATATCTTCTATTTAGGAATCCCCTTGATGAACATGGTATAAATACAAAGGGATAATTTTATAAAGGACTAAAAGAAATGTCACTAACAGATAGATAGGAAGCACCCTAAACTTAAAAGTAAGATAGCAAACTGTTCCTAAAGGTAACACAAAACCATGTCAAAACTATCACAAAATCTATGAGTATAAAGCTACTACTAAAGCAAATGAATTCCAGTCAACTATAGAAAAACAATACACTCTACCATAAATATAGTTAGGATCACAGAATGAAAAGACTCACAGAAAAAGGCAGAAATAGTATTTGAAAAAATACTGAAAAAATGTTTCTAAATCTGCCCCATCCTTCTTTGGTTATTATGTATTTTATATATTTGAATTAAACTATATATAGGATTGTTTTTATTCCCTCAAATATGCATTCCTAAAGTCATTAAAATTCCTAGAAAGCACTGACTTTAAAGAACACTTAATCAAGTATAAGTATTAACTAGTCTTGCATTCATAGAAATTTAATCTTTCCTTAACATTTTTACTACATTAAAACAAATCCTATGACTGTTCATAATATATAAATCTTATACTTTTTCATTATTGCATATGAAAGTCAAACTTAAGAACTATCACTATAAATGATATAAGTACAGATTATAAAGCACTAGCCTCTTATTAACTCCAAAATGTATTTTAGCTGAAATGTGATTTTCCATCTTCATCATGTATTTCAGAAAACTTACCATATCCACTGAAGTGGCTTATGAGATATGTCTGTGTGCAGCCAGCAACTTCAGTAAGTTGTTGTTACACTTATGGATGTTGAAATACAACATACCACAAAGTGGTAATCTAAACAACAGACACTTTTCACAGATTTAGAGGACAGACAGTCAAGACCAAGGTGTCATCAATTTAATTCTCTTGAATCCTAACTTTCTGGCTTGCTAGATAGCTGTCTTCTCACTACATACTTGTGACCTTCCTTGATGGGTGGAAAGAAAATAAAAGTGATACAGGTAATTTCTTAATCTAAAGGCACTAATTTCATCATGAGTTTCTTGCCTTTCTGATTCTAACCTAGACCTAACGAACTCTCAAAGGGCCCACTTCCAAATAGCATTACACTGCCACCTAGCCTTTAAACTATGAATTTGGGAGGTGGAACATGTATAAATATTTAGCCTCTAAGTGCAACCTAATTTGGAAACGAGGACTTTAATTAAAGTGACATTCTTGAGAAAAAATTATCCTGGTTAGAGAAGATTAAAAAAAACAACAACAACAAACAGAAAAGGGCAAAATGGGAGGAAAGAACACCATGGGAAGACAGAGAAGTAGAGACTGCAGTGTGTTCTAACCCGAAAGCCATGAGAACCCAAGAGACACGGAACACATATTCTTTTATAGCTCCAGAAGAAACTACCTCTCACACAAAACCTTTTCTAGGAAATTAACATTCTGTTCTTTTATGACTCCAACAATTTTGTTGTAGTTTCGTATAACCTATCTAAAAGAGTAACTTCCTCTCCAAACATATATTTAATTCAACACTGTCTCCTTTAATTTCCTTTAATCTCCTTAAATGTCTCATTAATATTTAATCATTAGTATTTTATTTTTAAAAGCACTATAAATATTACCTTGCTTATATATTACAAAATATTAACCTGGTTATAGGCCCAAATGTATTTTTCCAACTCGGTCATAAGGCACAATCTTTACAAGTAGAAACTAAATGCTGAATATCTTTGTTAGTCTTTTTATCTAATATGGGCCTACATACAGTGCATTACCTAATAAATTCTCATTTGAAAAAATAAAATATCTACAATTTCTTCTTATATGTTAAATTATCCTTCACAAATGGGCTAAAAGTCTAGTGTGATTACTTCAAGATCTCTTTAGTGCTTCCTCTAAAATCCAACTACAATCTTATCCCCAGATTATCATTCCCTAATGTTATAAAAACTGTGAAGAGACATAAAACCTATGCTTAGAAATAATATTCAAAACATGGTAAGAATCACAAAAGAAGGCTATCAAAAGCTAGTAAAGTAACATTAAGAATTGTCTTAGTACAGATGTGATCATAAATAAGTTTGTTATATTGTTTGTATTATATGTTAATATTTCCTTAAAATTAGGTTGTATAATAATTTTTATAACCTTAAAAATGAACATTATAAAAAGATGTAGGTGAAAAACATACCTGAGTTCGTAAAATTTCACTTTTTGACAACTGCATATCTCCAGTCAATTCTTTCACTACAATGCCCAGTGGCTCTAGACGTTTGCTGAAGTAATTTGTCATTTCCGCTGCCAAGGCTTTCATTGGAGCAACATACACAATCTGTACCAAACAAACACTAGCTTGATGAATGAGCAAAAATTACAACACCATTTATTTCATAGTAGCCAATGCAAGTCACAATTTATTGTGAAATATGATTCTAGCTACTTCCTGTGAAAAACGTTAATAATGATATATGGAAAGTACTTATCTTTGCTGGGTTAAGCACATGGTTATTTAAATAAATAAAATACTGTCCTTTAAACAAAAGGACAATGGAATTTGTTTACACTGCCTCATTACTTAGAAAGTAGCTAAAAATATTTTCATGTGTTTTCCCAAGGGTAATGGGATTTAAAAGCAGAAATAGTACTGCCTTTATAGTAAAGAAGTCAATCAAGCAACATTCTTTATATGAATTCTACTATAATAAATATCTTTAAGAATTCACAAGTTTTGTTGAACTGAAGGCTTATTTTATCTTCTATAACTCAAAGGAAAAAAATAAAACAACTATTGTCTGATTTGTAATCTCCCACCTTAAACTCATTCTTTTTAATAACACCTTGTTGAAAGTGTTGTCGGATTTCATGTAAAACTGTAAGCATCGCAATGTTGGTCTTCCCAGCTCCAGTAGGGGCACAAATCAGCATGTTCTCATTGGTGTTATAAGCAGTCTCAAACACTATGGACTGGATTCTATTGAGTCTCTTCATTCCTTTAAAAGCCAACTGTCCGATCTAAAATAAGGGAGGAACATGACTTGTTATAAATAAAATATAAATGACTCATAAAATACTGAATATAAACACTAAATCTCTATAGTTAACAACATGATGACAAGCATGCATGACATCTACCTCAAAAGACTTTGTTCAGTTTCTCAGTGCACCCTGCATTTAAGAAAGCACCATAACTATAGCTAGGTTCTAATTCAGAAATTACAACACTCTAAATATGAAAATATGATTCTAAACTTAGGATACTAAATATTTGACTAAATAACTTCCCCAAACAGAAAATGATGTAATGTGTAAATATGAAATAAAAACACATCCTTCAAAGTTCAAAGAATTTCCAAGTTGTATCATGACAGTCTAGTCTAAACTGAAGGTAAAAACAGGTGCTGGCATATACATGTAATCCTCACACTGCAGAGGGTGAGGCAGGAGAGTCAAAGCCAGTGAGTGTACAGTGAAATCCTTCCTCAAGAAAGTTTTAGAAAACAAAACAAGAAGCCACCTGAAACAGAAATCAATAGGAAATTCTATTTCATTATTTGAAAAGGTTTGCAATATTTTAATATTTTATGAATTAAAAACAAACTTTAGAAGGCAACATAAATTATTTGAACAGTCAGATCAGACTTCATATACTTTATACGACAACATGTAAAGTTATAAGGACTTTAATACGATTTTTTCATTTAACCTTCAAAATAACTCCATGGTGCACTATTATTACAACTCTTTAGTTAAAAATCAAAAACAAAAAGTGGAGATTTTAAAAGTGACAGAGGACACATAGGTGGTGTGCTAGTAACTCAGGGAATAAACTGGAGAGAGCTGGATGACAAGACCCAGAAGAGATGAGAGATGGCAGCTTCAATACCAAAGTCCAAGAGGGGATGCACACAGCAGCAGTTCAGAGTCAGTCCAGAAGATCAGTTTGCGTGGCTCACAACACCTGTGACTCCACCACCTCTTCTGGTGCTCAATCTCTCTGTCTCTGTCTCTCATTAAAAATGATAGAAATAAATCTTTAAAAAATGAAGATCAGAAAATGGGGCAGAGAGAGTGCTCCTGCATGTCTCCCCGCCCACCCCCAGTTCCACAGCAACAAATTTCTGTATGTATTCCTCTCTCCCCCATTTTTCTGATCTTTAATTTTAAAAAGAGTTGGAAGTGGTAGCATACACTTGCAACTTCAGTACTGGGAGGCAGAGACAGGTATGTCCATGGGCCTTAATGGTCTGTCTACTTGGTGAGCTCCAGGTCAGTAAAGGACCCTGACTCAAAACAAAATTTAAAAAAATAGTAGTGTCTGAAATATGGTAGCCAAGGGTACTCCAGCCTTCACATGCACATACAGGCATACATACTCACACAGATACTAGCACATGCACATACAAACACCCTGTCCAAAGAAAGGAAAATATATTGTTCAAAGTTTTTCTCAATGTTTTAACTATACAGTGTCCACAGTATGTATGACCCTTCAAGATATACCAATGCTTTGGAAACATACATCTTTCAAGACAGAAGACAGTACAAAGATCAGACTCGGCATCTGTCAGGTCTCACTTTCTCAGCATTTTTTCATGCCTTTACACTGCCCCAAAACCTTTCCCAACCCTTGGAATCTCTTCATTGCCATTCAAGTTCAAGCTCACAAGTGAACTCCAATTTCCTCTGGTTCCCTAAGTAATCAGGGTGTTTCTATATTTATAATCCGCCATATTTCAAAAAATTTAAGGAAACCCTACTTCTTCAGCAGCCAAACATTCAACAAACCTTCATCACATATATATATTATCATTATTATCTCTAACCATAAATACTGAAACAACATTTTTATACGTATATCTGGCCCACTGGATTGAATCCAAGGATTCTGTTTTATTACTCTTTATATTGTTGAAGGTTGCTGGGGTCCCACTGTCTCTGATCCCGGGGGCAGGGGGTGAATAGACGCAGAACCAACGGCACAGGCTCTGGTAGATTATAAGCAATCTCGTTTATTAAACAAAGGACTAAGGTATTTATGTGTGTAGTTTTTGGTGGGCTCTGCTTCCAGTTGCTGTGGTGTTTCCTGGTTGGCTCTGAGTCTTATGTCAGCAGTTGTCATCTTGGGGGTCTGGTTTCAGGCTCCTCTGGGTCAGGATACTACTGCGCATGTCAGAGCTCTCTGCTTTTGGCCTTACCTGTCTCAGTTGAGTAAGATATAGAATGCATACATAACATCCACCCCCCCCCCCAAAAAAAAGCAAAATGAACCTATAACATGAAGCAGTCTGGAAATAAAATGTTATACAACCTTCAATAAGAAACATAGGGCTGGGGTGATGATGGCTCAATAGTTAGGGGCAGCACTGGCTGCTCTTCCAGAGGACCTAGCTCAAGCCCCAAGCACCCTCATGGCAGCTAACAACCATCTAAGTTCCAAGGGATTCATCATCATCTCCCTGCCTTCATGGGCACTGCACACATGCTAAATAAGCATACATGAAGATAAAACATCCATACATACATGTAAAATAGAGAAGTAAGTCTTAAAAAAAAAACCAGAAACTTATTTTTTTTTCTTAAAGGTTATAGAATAAACTAAAACACCAGAAAAATGTACCTATAGTCCAATTACCCATTTGGAGATTTGTTAGCATTCTACTTAATTCAACAGTTAGTACCAATGAATGACTAAGATATAAATATGATCCCACCAAGAACTTCTGATTAGTATACTGCGTTTTGTAACAACAGTGAAGGAGTGTCAAATGTTTGTTTCTGGTTAAATGGAAGAAAAAAGAACGTTAAAACTACATTGTGCTATTTTAGTCTTAAAAACAGGAGCTATGTGCTGAGGGATCTGACAGGAGACATCCACTATGACTGGCATTTGAGGGAGAAAAACAAAGTATCAGAGAAATGGGTGGTAGAATTCTGGTATGAAACACTCTGTACAAGAGAAGGGCAGGAAGACTGTGAGTTCAAGGCCAGGCAGGGATGCAAACCAGACCCTATCTCAAACAAACAATTCCTGGAACCAGTGACAGCAACTGTGTGATAATATAGGAGGAAGGGGTGGCCAAGAAAATGTTAACAGAAGTACACACGTCCAGACCATAGAGAGGGCATCTCTCTGTCTCTCCTACTCTCCCTTTCTGTCCATCTCTCTCTCTGTGTTTCTCTCTCTCTCTCTCCGTGTTTCTCTCTCTCTCTCTCTCTCTCTCTCTCCCTCCCTCCATCCTTTCTTTTCCATCTCCGTCCTCATCCATCCATCCATCCATCCATCCATCCATCCATCCATCCATCAAATGAATACCTGTGATAAGCTAAGGACTATTTCTGCAGAGCCAACACAATTTAAACAGGAAAGAAGTATATTACAATCTTATTAGAAATTCCTTGGGAAAACATTTAAAACTTAATAATTAGTTGTAATTTCCCTTCTTAGAAAAGAGTTAAATTTAAGACAATTTTAAATTGGGAGAAAAACCCAAAATAATTAAAGGAAACTAGACTCATCTACAAACCTCTAAAGAATGTTTGCAGAAAGATTAAGAAGCTATCACAGGAAATTGAAATGTAAAAAAAATTAAATAGTTCACACATGCTTATACTGTTGATAAACTATTACAGGCACGGGATTCAGTTATCTTATCTCACATATGAATTATTATAAAACCTGCTGATTAAAATAACAATATATGACTCAATCTTGCCATTCAACTAATATCTCTGTATTCATTTTAAAATCAGGTCAAAGGTATCTTCATACTGTTGCATATATATGGACTGATATCACAGAATATGCCAAATAGAAACTGGAAGTTTAAAAACAATTTCCCAAAAATGTATAAAGTACCTCACACAGTCCACACTCTGCACTACAATAGCTAAGCGTTTACTTTTTAAATTTGAATTAAGAAACATATATGAAAAACACTCACATATAAACTTGTTAGTAAAAACAAAAGAAATATGCTCAAACAACTGTTCGATAGTATTAAAAAGAAGCAATAGAGGGCTTAGCATACTTGAAAGTGCTTGTAAGCCACTGGAAAAAAAGTTAAAGTTCATTATCAATAGTCTCTCCTACTCTCCCTCTGTGTTTGTCTGTGTTTCTCTCTCTCTCTCTGTTTGTCTCACTCTGTGTTTCTCTCTCTCCCTCCCTCTCTCTCCCTCCCTCCCTCCCTCCCTCCCTCCCTCCCTCTCTCTCTCTCTCTCTCTCTCTCTCCCCCCCTAACCCCCTTGTTCCCTCTCTTACTGACTCCCTATCTCCATGAGTGTTGGGAATCAGGATCTTCTGCACACTAGATGAGTGATCTACCACTGAGCTGCATTCACTGGTGCTTAGTTTGTGGAAACATGTCTTTCTATATAGCTCAGGCTGGCCTTAACTGTAGGACACCACATTCAATTAGTATACAGGTTTTGGCTTTTTTTATTTTTTCTGGTTTGCTCTTTTTAAAACAAGGGCTCATAGCCCTTACTTTGATCCTGCATTCATTTATTCAGTAAATATTTATTGAATATATCAAAACATCACAAACTGGCCAAATAGTTAAAACTGTCAAAAAATTCTCTGTTCTCATATAATTTACAGTCTACTATGGGATGGAAAATGTTCTGTAATAAAAACTAAATTATTTCAAATGTTCACTCAAATGAAATTGAATTGGCAGTGCAATTAAGAGGAATAGGATGGAAACATTATTTTACCTTTTCTAATTTGAAAATAAAGTGACAGAAAACTGGCCATGAAAACATTTCTAAGCACACACAACCTAGAAGCAAGATCTAGCTCTAGGTCACTGCATCAGAACACAGTTGACAAGTAGACTTGTAGAGAGGTCAGAGGTGGCTACGTGGTCAGATGCAGCTGAGAAAGGGAAATAAGATTCTTATTCCTTTATAGGAATAATAGGTTAAAATGAAGAACTTGCATGTATGTTTCTCATTACAGTGGAAATTCCTGTAGGATTTTAAGCAAAAGCATGGCATTATATAACTCACATTTT